TCTGCATCACTTGTCCAATATTAGGTTTCGTAGCCTGCATAAATTGCAAAAGAAACATTTTAAAGTGTTATGTTAAGGTTGGACTTTCTTGAAAAGAAATTAACTAATATATAATGTGTGCTTCCAAAAGGAACTATGGTTTAATAATGACATTATGTATCATAAAGTTAATGCATGTAATAATGAGTACACAACTGATATATATATATATATATATATATATATATATATATATATATATATATATAGTGCATTCGATAAAAAGGCATATCATGAACCAAAAGAAACAAATTATAATTATAAAAGGGTCAGAATTGGCGTTATACATCACTAACCAAGTTGGTAAGTTGGAAAATTTTCTCCTTGTACACAATGGATGATGTTTTGTGACTCATGCAGGTTTACTCGTTGAAAGATCATAGAATTGAAAATTCATACATAGAATTTTTTTGGTTCAAGTTTGAAAATTACATGTTCTTGGGAGTTGCCACAAAAGCAATTGCATAATTGTTGCTTGCTAATGATTATGCAAGACTTTCTCAAGGATACACATCAACAAGTAGTATAAGGCATATTTTAAGACCCAAATATCTTCCCAAAGAGACCGTGGCGTTTGTTTTGAGTTGTTTTAACTTTATAATTGCTAAATAGATTAAAGAAAATAAAATTGAAAACTGCAACAAAATTACCTATACTACTAAAGTCAAACAAGTTTTGTTTTTGAATTTTTGGAATTAAAAATATTGATAATGAGAATAGTGTGGGTAATGGATAAATAAGAAACTCATACCACAATATAATCCACAAACCTCAAATTTCTCATTGAACCTTAAGTCATAGAGATTTCCAACAAACTCTTAAGAAACTCAAAAGAGATCATGAATTCTCACCTTAACCACCCTAAAAGTTTGAAGCTAGGAAGACTCCAAGTCCCAATGGAGGAAAGATCTTCCTCCCCCTTCTACAAAAGTAGCACCCCAAGCACAAGGAACGAGAGGGTGGTTTTTCTTTTGGTTTTTCCTTAGTTTCTAGAGGATGCAATAGGGAGGGAAAGTGGAAAGGATGAAGGTGATGACCCTCCTTCAATCACTCTTGGTCGTCCAAATGTAAAAGGAAAGGAGGAGAAAACTTTGCCTTTGGAGAAGGAGAGGGAGAGACAACCGTGGAATGAGGGAATGAGAGGAAGAAAGAGAAACCTTGGTATTAAAAAATATCATCAATGAGAAAGGACTATTTTTCCCCTTTCATTTCATTTTGTCCTATTTCATGATCTAAACCACATACTTTTAGTTTCTTGGGCTATTTAGGTCTAATTAAAGTGTATCATACTTAATTTATTTTAGGTGTCACCCACTTTGCATAATTGCACTTTAACCCCCAACACTTTTATTATTTGCATTTTTACCCCAAAAAGTGACTGAGATCTAAATTAGACTTTTCAGGCCTGTTTAGAGCACCTAATAAAGAAGATAGGATAGGATAACTTATCATATCCTACTTTTATCTCTTATTTGGTGGGTCAATAGGATATGATTAGCTTATCCTATTGTCTCATTTTATCCTATCCAATACATGATTTCTTATCCTATGGGGGGAGCTGGGTTAGGATTCAACAGGATAGGATACCAATATTGGATACCCAATATATCCCTACGCTACCCAATATATTCTCACGCTACTCAATATATTTATATTTATTGCATTATATTTTGTTTTTTCTTTCTCCTTTCTCCTTCTACATAATCTTATCAGATTGCTAATCAGGTGTTCATCAAACACAGAACATGATATCGGCTTATCAACCCCATATCATATCCTACCCTTATCAGCCCCATATCATATCCTACATTTATCCTATCCTATCCACCAAACGAGCCCTTCATCTAATTAACTCCTAATTACACACTAATCTCATATTAATGTAATTAATTATTCGGGCTATTATAGATTATATGCACTTATTATCTAATTACATAAACTTATCAAGAGGATATTTCATACAAATTTCATTTTGTTTATTTCACATATACCAGTAATCGTATAATTTCACTCCTAAAATATCAAGTTATTGATTGTCAATATATTGGACCTTACTCGTTAGTAAATCAAATAATGAAAACTATTCAATTAATTATTTATAATAAACTCGAGATTGAGAGCAATAAAATAACTATTGTCAACTGGAGCTTCGGTACCTTATAACAAAATTCAACCTTAATTAAATCTCTATTTGATCATTTGAATGCAAATATTAATTCAAATCAATATTTTAAAATTTACCAGACAAATCATTTCTTAAAATATTGCATACTAAACAAAGCGTGCAACTTTATTAAACCATCGCAAACATATTCACTAATAAAGAGATCTTACTATCATGTCCTCCATGAATAAATCAAAATGAATATTTAGTCCATAATTATTCTGGACCTTTGTATTTGCAAATAGTTTGCATATTAGCAACGAATAATACCTCATTAATATATATTAGTCATAAAAATAATACATTATCATAATGTCTTGCTCAAAAATCACAAAATAATAAAAAGCTCCAACTTGCTTAAAGATAAAGTAAGTATGGGATCCTTATAAGAACCAAAAATATAACATACCTCTCGAACACCCATTTAGGAAATTTTTGGCTGAAATGGTTTGCAAGGTTTTCTTCCAATGCTATCTTAGTTACCATTGTGTCTCTTCTCTTTATGATATGACAGAACAAGTGATACTTCCTCTCTAGGTGTTTTTACTTTTTGCGACACCTGGGTTTCTTGGATTGTTCTTTAGTTCCACTATTAAAGTACAGAGTAATGAGTTGATCAGTACCTAGTATCACCTGAAGATCCTTATGGAACTTCTTAAGCTATGTGACTTTCTTTACAGCTTCAAATACATCTATAGATTCAGCAATTTGGTAGAATCAGCCACCTATGATTGTTTGACACTCCTAAAACAAATGGCCCCGCCATTAAGAGTAAACACATAGCTTGATGTTGATTTTCCTGAGTCAATATCCCCTTGAAAATATTTACCTAATGTTTCAAGACTCCCGCTAGAATAAACTAGCATATAATCTCTCATTTTTCGAAGAATCTCGAGTATATGCTTAACAAATATCCAATGTTCTTCTCTAGGGTCGGATTGGTAACAACTCACCACTCTCACTACATAAAAGATATTTGTCTTTAGCGTTAAATGGCATTCATAAGACTACTTACGACCGAAGCATAAGATATTCTATTCATATGTTCTCTCTGCTCATTAGTCTTTGGAGATTGCTCTTAAGAGAGATGAATTTCATATCTGAAAGGCATGGTTCCCCTCTTAGAATTTTCCATGCTAAATTCGGCAAAGATTTTGTCCATATAAAAAACTTGAGATAATCTCAATAACTTTTTATTATTAACTAGTTTTTAGTGTTGCTCGTTAAGTTTCTAAGAGGGGTGAAAAATTCCAACGCATTTCCCTTGAAGTTCATAAATATGGTCGGGAAGGAAATTAATGAAACATGTAATGATTTATACTCTAATGGTCAAAAAGCCTATAGGAATGTCTTATCAAAGTCATTTTGAAATAGGTATGGCCTACTAACAAAAAGGAAGTAAAGGTCTCCATGCCCGATTGAAATTCGACTAGATAATTGGTATGTAATTAGGGTGTTCGGCCATGAACCTTTTGTTGGATCGAGCGCTTACCACTAGAAAAAAAGTTATAGTTGTTAGTTAGGGCGCAACTTTTTATACTTATGCTTATCAGTCCAAGCGCCATAGTTTGATCTGATCCCAACCCACACAATGGCGGACCCAAGATTTTTTCCTGGGTGGGGTGAAAAATCAAGTTGAATGACATCAAGTCACATAAAATATCCAACAATACATACAACATAAGCTCTAAAAACAAATTGAATAATCTCTTCATAATTTCATATACTTTGTTGATATTTAACTGGGCAAAAAAGAGTAAAGCAATATCTAACAGATGCACGAAATTATATATCATTTGAAAGAACAAATTATATTAATGATCGATTACTTTTTTACTTAACATCTAACATATGCACCAAAAATCGTCGCACAATTAGTCCTTTTTTAATATATAGAAACAGTCGTTGCTTATTGCTTAGAGTATGTTTGGTACCTCTTTAAGCTAAAAACCGATTTTAAGCTAAGGTTAAAAAAAACTGAGAAAATAAAACTACAAGTTGTTTGATAATTATACAAAAATTTTAGCTTAAAAGTTGTTTATTTAAAAAAAAAAAACACATTTCAAAAAAAACTGATACAACTTAAAAAAAACTCTTTCTATGAGCTTTTGGCTTCTGGCTTTATTTATTATTATAAAAAATACTTTTTTTTAATACAAAAAAATACTCTTTTTATTATAAGAGTTTTTGTAAAAACCTAATTGGCTTAGCTCAAAAAAAGACCTTCCAAAGAGACACTTAATAAATAATTCTAAGTTTCATTTTCTAGTAATGAAGATACACATAAAGTACTATGCAGGTAGGATGACAAAAACTCTAGAAAGAAAAAATGCAGGAAAATAATAATGCTCATTGTTTATTGCTCACTACATTATTATTATCCGATCCCATTTTATGTACTGAAGAAAAATCATTTATTTGTGTTGACAATGATAATGAGTAACCGCAGTTCTCTAGTTTTGGCCAATGATAGTATCCTGCATAGACATCAAAAGCCAGGGGCACATTTTATCAAGAGGTACTTCATTCAAGTTTCTATAACTTCGGTCTCAAGTTCATATAAACGACACATTTGAGGCTCACAAGTCGTAAAGCAGCACGTAGTAAATCTGCTCTCGACCTTAAGTTTAGTTTAGTGGCAATTCGTGACAATGAGAAGACACAGTGTTAATCAAATTGATCACGTATATACTTATTAACTCAGTCACAAGGAACATTTGGCCTTCAAGTGCCAGCTGAACCAAATTTAAGTTAACGATCAAATTTTAACCATTGATGTTGTGTACATTACCTTAATATATCTGCTCATCGTACCAGAATTCATGAAACAAATCACACAAAACATACACATCAAATGCACATTGGATCATCATTCTAATCACAGAAATGAATTTTACAACCTATGTTTTTCTGGTTAACTCCCATCAGCATCCCAAATTCCCCTCCATTAAAGAATAACTGTACAAATAAATAATTTTATCGTGTAAAATGGGAGACAAAGAACCATTGCTAAAACTTTTCCTTAAGGATACCTTGACTATCATCACATTTCAGACGAGCCATTCGCTGTGACCTTGAAAAACCTTGCCTGTTATTAAGCCTATCAATGTAATCCCGAAGCCTATAACGGTCTGAGTTTGTCAGTGAAAATGGAGGATTCAGAATCAAGGATGGTCCTTCCACTAGAAGGAAAAGTAACAGATGGACAGCTTTTGAATATAATGCAGTTGCACTTTCCATGTCACCCATGAGCTCTTCTACCTGCCAAAAACATAATACCAGAACACAACCTCAGCTTGGATTACCAATTAAATCTTCATGTGTGTTCAATTTTAACATACATAAAATGTCTTAAGACATCCCTCGTTTTGTATAATCTTAATTGTGGCATCCTTTCACCTACTTTTAGGCACATAGAAGCATAAGAGGAGGGGAGTTTGCCCCATTTTAAGGTTACAGCATCCCACAAGCCTCAACAATCGCTTACAGTGGTACTTGCATATAACCCTAGCAAAGAAAGTGCACTAGCAGGAATCAACCCCAGATGCTGATCGATCCTGTTAATCAAGCCACCCTCATTGGCAAATGACATGCTTTCAATGTGCAATGCCCGTGATATGCATACAGATATTGGCTTGACAAAAACTAAATTATCCCATAGGATCAGGATGGAGTTATTTTCTCTCAATCTTTACTTATAGCTAAATCACAGCGGCAAGGTAAGCACGGTGCAGATTGAAATGTTGGAGCTATTTTCTCCAATCCTCATTCACACGGATTATCGTTAGATTCTAATATTAGATACCAAACTCATGTAAGAAGTCAACCAAGTCCCAACTATTTATAACTACGACAAAATTAGTGCACAGAAGAAAATCAAACATTACCAATAATTCAGTGAATCTAAAATTGTAATTTTAAGATGGACTTTAAAACCCTGTCCAAAATGGAAGAAATGAAATGCGGAAAAAAATACTCACACCCCCATGTCTCCCAAAAGCAAGGGCAGATTGAAATATTGTCTCCATTGCATCTGGCATCTCTGTATTTCCTGCAGTCAGGACAAATAAATGCTTGTTATAAATCTAGTATATTATGAAACCTAACTACAAGAATCACCTCTCTCTCTCTCTCTCTCTCTCTCTCTCTCTCACACACACACACACACACATACACATACAGTTGGGAGACACTTTACATGTTGGAGATATATTGTATTATTGAATAAGACTATAAACTCCAAATATTGGCTGGCATATTTCAACATATCATTATCCATAGCTACCAATGACCTTCTTTCTCGGCCATATAAAAATGACTCTTGACAAAAGCATTACATCCAATGTAGTGAATGGCTGAATGCTACATCAGCGCATAAAATCTAAAAGTTTAAACATAGAGAATAATAAACTCTTTTTTACAAAGTAAGCATAGAAAAGCAAATACATTTCATATGAGAACTGAAACTTTTAACTCACTAAACATAAGTACATTGATGTTAAAGATGGATTATCTTAAGAAAGGAAGGCAAGTCAACTAGCCATTCTGCTTATAAATCAAAATAAAAAAGTCATACCAGGCTCAATGGTCTTGGCAAGTTCTTCAGCATACTCAAATTCCCTCAAAAATTCACTTTCAATTTGGGATAATATATCCTTTGGCCTTTGGATTTTTCCATCAAGGCATTCTTCTGAATCAAGACTACCTAGCTTCTTGCTGGTGCTCCTCCTATATCTTGAAGTTTCTAGATTTGGACTTCCTTCCATGGCTGAAGCAGCCTGTGTATGGCATATGTGCAGTGCTTGCTTACAAATTGCGAGAATTACAAGCTGAATAGAAAATGCTTCTAGCTGCTTCCCTGCTGCCATCTTTTAATTTTTTTAGGAGTGGACGAGAGAGATGGAGCCATCAGAAGGATGAGTATCATGAATTTTATGACACAAATAAAAACATCAAGATTTATAAAGTAAAACCAGAACATAACATGAAGTGCATTAAGGGAAATGTAAAAGGGAGACAGGGTTTCAATTATTCCCACCAAATGAAAAATTCCTCATAGGCATGTAGATAGTGCATAATGCATACTGAAGACACAACTCAACAGCTTCAGTCTAATGACAAAAATAATAACATCATGTTTCTAGATATTGGAGTATGACAGTTGTCGTGGTGTATATTAGCTTAATTGTAATTTTATCCTGTACAGCTGATGGTGCCAGGTATCCCATTAGTCTAGTCAGTTCCATTTGTTAGTGCGGTTACAGATTAATGTTATTGAACCAGTTGTAGAAGTCTTGTAATCATTTCCTATATATTCAGATCTGAGTATGATCAATAATATTCTTTAGTGCATCCTCTTTCTCTGATTCTTTCTCTCGTTTATCTTTCTGTTTCTGATTCTTTTACTAGAGGCTGTTTATTCATTTTATTAGACATAGAAGCCCAATAAAAATACCTAGGCTAACCTATAGTATTATTAGAACGTTGGTATCCATTATACGAACATGATGTATTACCCATAATACTGGACCACACAATGTCCCGACTAGTTTAAAAGGCAATGTAACTAATAAACTTCTAAAGGCCCCAGCAGAGACACAGTGAACAACTAGTATATGATTTTCCCATAAATGCACATTCCTGAACTTCAGTGCAAAAGTTTTACAGATAAAATTACAGTCACTGTATAAGATCACAGTAGTTAGCATATTTTCAAACATTTACCTTTTCATTAACTAATTCCGTGATGGTAGACGCACACTGTTGCAATGATTTTACCCTTGTCATGCAGTGAGCTGATGGTTGTTCATCACCTGTATCCATTGATCCATGTGAAGTCCCAGGAGCAGAGTCCTGACTTCCTGAACTTCCAATTTGGCATATGCTATTGGTAGGTACACCACCGATTGGCATTGGAGCACTTACTGTAGTGATTGTATTAGAAGACTCTTGGGGGAAACTACCTGACCTATATGGGGAATGGCTTGGCTTTGAAGCACTCACAGAAGAAGATGAAACATCCATAGGGGGCCCCGACACAAGAACATAATCTTGATCAATATTCTCTAGTGAATCCATAACTACCAAATTCATACAACAAATATAAGCAGCATCACACATAATTTCGCAAGATGTGTCATAAATCCAACCACATAAAACAGAAATGGGAAAAAAAAAATAGTTTGGTAATTGGTACCTTTTGGATGGTTTGTAAATATCTGTTCTGGAGATTCTAGAGGATCAATGAGATTTCTTCCCGAAATTCTATGGTTTTCCAATCTTTTAGTAGTGTTTTCAGGTCGCTGTATTACACTACCATATCGGGAAGTACAATTAATGTTATTAGCAATACGAGATGCTGACTCTGTTTTATCTAATTTTGTATTTAGATCAAATCCATAGGTAGACTTCATTGAGGACTTCTTCCTTGAAAAGGATGGACTCCCCTCAGGACCACTAGAATCATCATCTAGAATAAAAGGTAAACAATCCTCTTGATAATTTTCCTCAGTTCTTAAAGGGTCAGACACTGTTGAACAACACCGACCTACTAGCCTTGAAGAATTTCTACTCCTGCAAACCAAAAAATATTTGTCAGCAAACTGAAAAATCATAATAACCATACATTCATAGAGCCTTCATATTTACCTCAATGGTTCATCCTGTTCTGGTTGCTTATGGGAAAGGAATGGGTGGTTAAAGAATTCTTCAAAAGTTAGACGTTCCACTGAAAATTAAAAAAAGATTCGGAACAATGTATCAGAAAAAGATTTTACCGAAGCATATGAAGTATATAGAAAATCAAGAACATACTATGAACTTCTTATGCTATCGCCTTTTACTTGATTCTCTTGCACAAAATAACAGTTGAAAAAGTAGACCAGGAAGGGCTGTAGGTTGGAGCACAACGTGTAAATTTCCCTCAATTTACTAACTCAGGATTGTACAAGCATATTTTATCAACCAATCATCCCTCAATCAAGCTCCAACAAACCATCTATAATCAATCCCCAAATTAATCACCCTGGATTTTAAGGGCAACCCTTTCTTAATTCATAAGAGCAAGGTTGTCAAAATCGAAATCTTACCTAAGATCGGAAGCGAGTGATAAGATCGTAAATAATGAGAACGACACGAGTAGTGAGATGTTATAGTTTTATTTTAATTATAAAAATAATAATATTTATGAACATAAAATAACATTTAAATCGCAACTTTAAATATAAAAGATAGCAAATATAATAGACAACAAAAGAGTTTAAATACAGAAGACAACTTTAAATAATTATCAAATTCAAACAATTCAAGTTTTTAATAATAATTTATTTATCTAATAAAAATAAGTTACTTAAAATACAAAGTTATATTTAATATATATATATATATATAACAAAAAATAATATTTAAATCACTATTACATTTAATTAGAAACATCAAACTATAAAGGGTATTTTAACAATCAATTTTAATTACTATATAAAAACTTTAATATGCTAATTCAAATAAGAGAAAAAAAAAAAGATGAAAAAGAGAAGTCAAATAAGAGAAGTCAAATAAGATAAGAAACGTGTGGATAAGCTATTTCAAACAGAAAAGTCGATTGTCTTTCAGTCTTTCTCTTCATCCAAATGAAAATATGACTCTCCCTCTCCCTCTCCCTCTCCCTCTCCCTCTCCCTCTCTCCCTCTCTCTCTCTCTCTCTCTCTCTCTCTCACTCTCAATCTCACACAGAAGAATAGAAAGGTTGAGGTGTTTCCGTAGCAGTCGCAAGTCAGATATACGATGGAGAAGGTGGATTAGGGTTTTCAATTTAGGATTTAAAAGATTTCGAGTCATGGGTGAGTTTTTTGGGTCATGGGTTATTTTCTTGATCAAAAAACACGATATGATCATGCGATCCCACCAATCCAATGAGTTTAAGCGCCGATCCCACACAATCTTACTAGATTGCGATACCAGGCGATCTGGATCTATTTAAGGGGGAAAAAATCATAGGATTGTGAGGTCCTACGATTTAACACACGATTTTGATAACAATCCATAAGAGTTTCGTTAAAAGGCTCTTTACAATAGTAATATTTACCTTTCCAAGAGAATCATTATATTAAGTAATTATGTATCTAAATGTCATATAACAAACCAAAGTAAACATTCTCCTGTGTCAAATGTGATCTCCATTAGCCAAAAGAACAAAAAACAGTGTACCCCATGATTCTTATTAGTTTGCAGGAGGATGATCCAAGTTATTTAAAAGCTTCAAACATCAAGGTAGATTTGTTGGCCCAATTTTGTTGTGAAGGAGCCATCACACTGATGATTACCAAAGCAAAACTAATTTCACAAAGAGAGGTTGGAAACACAACATGCATTCTCCCACCCTCTCTCAAAATAAACTAGTTTTAGAGGAAATTACTTAAAAAAGACTCGATGAACTCTCGAACCAAATTAGGCAAGTTCCAATGGTTAAATAATTACCTAAGGATACCATTAAATTTCTAAAAGAGACCCACAGATTTCACAATTCATTGATGTCTTAGATTTAAATCTACAAAAGAATCAAAATATACCTGGATTACGGCGCAGCAATTTCTGACACAAATCTTTGCAGTCAGAACTCAGACTTTGGTTATCAGATAGAAACTGCAATTCTGTTGATTTCATAATGTTCTGTAGTAACTGCAGAGTTCATGATTATAACAGTAAGCTAACTAAGAAGGTTAAAAGAGTCATACCCAGTTGGAGGACTGCAATACAGATAATTGCACCAAATTATACAAATTATTGATCAGCAAAAAACTAATTTGTTTGCCATTAAGAAAATCCTCAGAAGACGACAAAAAAGGGACACTAACATCAATTATATACCTGTATTTGATTGTTTCCAGTAAAAGGTGTTCTTCCTGTAACAAGCTGAAATAAGATTGCACCAACACTCCAGAGATCTGCCTGCGTGTTTAATTGAAGATAAATACGAAGGAAACCAACCATGAACGCTTTGGTGCTCTGAAGATATTAAAATGTAAAATATCACCTTAGCATCGTATTTCTGAAGTTGCATGATTTCTGGAGCCATGTAAAGAGGTGATCCACACAAGGTTTCTGCAAGGCCCCTAGGTTGCAGAGATCTGCCCAGGAAGAAAATTGTACTTTAACAACTAAATTACAGAAAGGAGCATGGAGAACCTTTTCCACATACAATTCCCAGAAATTTTAAAGTCACATACATAAAAAAGTAATACTTTTGAAAACAATTGGGCTTTTATACGGCCTTAAATCATTTTTTCGGTCTTAAAGATGCATTAAGTATAAATAATTAGGCTACCTTGCAAATCCAAAGTCAGCAATCTTCAGCACCGACTTCTCATCATTTATGGAGAGAAGAAGATTCTGTTTCAAGGAGTATGGGCATTACAAATACTTAGATAAAATAACAACACAACCTTCATTCAAAGATTAAACTTTAAATACAAGGATTCTGAACTAACGAGACATAAACCAAATGATAGGCATTTCTATTGTAGAAATTAGGATCCGAAACAAAACCTGCGGTTTCAGATCTCTATGAATTAAGTTATTGTCCCGAAGAACTTGAAGGCCAGTAGCTGGAACAGAAAGAGTTCTTCATTACTATAACATTTACTGAAAACACAACTGAATACAGCAGATACATACCCAGCTGCTGCATAAAATGCTTTGCAGTAGCCTCCGGTACCCTTCCATGGCGTTGAATGTACAAAGAGAGATCTCCCCCTCTACAGTATTCTAACACAAGATGTATCTTTCCAGGAGCCTACATAAAATGAATGGCATTTCTAAGCAGGGACATTCTTGATGCACCAATGAATGCAAATTTCATTAGGTGCTACAATCATTTCATCCAGATCAATCTATTCATAGAATATTAAGTGCCAATATTCTTAGTCAAACCTCATACTTTTTGCTTTTGAATAAAGTAAGCCAAGCCCAATACCTAGAGCATAACTCATAGTGTAGGAGACAACCATATATCATTTGCCATCAGCGCAAAATAAATCCAGTCCAAATCAATTCTAGGCCACTTGACTTATCATTAAACTATGGCAAGCTACCATTTCTTAAAAGCAATATCCACAAGCACATTACAAGATATTAAACAACCAATGCGATCTCATAATCAAATAGTCATAATAGCTCCTTCATTTTCATAAAGAGCTCTTTACTCCTACACTAAACCAAGCATTAGCCTCTGCATGTTTTGCGATCATGAATTCTCCCAATTCAACTAAACAGCAAAATATCACATCAGAATTAATACAGAGAACTTGTGATTTTATCTATATTTTTACAAAAGAATCAAGAAGCGGCAGCAGACATAGGTGGTGGCACAATGCGGTTACACGATCCTTAATATAGTAACATACAAAACATCTTACGTAGGCACTCCCATAAAGGTAAAACCTGCCTCCCTCTCCTCAAATTCTACGGAATAACAGACCCACTTCAAATTTTCTAGTTCCGCCCCCAGAGAAAATTAAAGATATATCAAATCCACTGTGGATAATTTAAAAAATCCGTAAAGTCATCACACATTTTGAAGCTCTTAAAATAGCAGTGTTTCACTGGGGAAATAAATTATTAGCTCTTAGATTTCAACAACAGGTCAAACCTAGTCACTTACACTGAAAATCAAAACCGAAAAGTTTAATCAAAACAAAAGAATATATATAAAAAACAAATAATAATTTTCCGAAAATTCACCATTTTAGTTTCAGTCTCAATCACACAATAAACTTAGATTATGCTACACAACCAAATCATATATCAATATCAATATTAATTACACACAAAAAAAAAAAACTAGAATTCGAACCTCAATGATATCGTGCAAATGGATGATATTAGGATGGTTAATCCGCTTCAAGATGAAAATCTCAGACATGAGACTCTCCTGCAACTTCTTGTTGAGGCGAAGCGTGGCGATCTCCTTTATCGCTACTTCGGTTCCGTGCACCTTGTGCCTACCGTGCCACACCACCGAGAACGACCCTGCGCCGATTTGCTTCCCGACGAAGTAGTCTCCGATCACCCTGCTCCGCCCCGTCGGCATCGCCATCGTCGAATTCGAAACCCTAGAAGTTGAAAAGAGCAAGAAGAAGAAGAAGAAGAAGAAGAATCCGAGCCCGGAAAACCAGCTCCGAATACCCGACTCGTGAAAATGGATATTTAGGGAGATTCAGATGAAGGTCCCTTTTGATTTTGAGATCTCTTTCTGTTTTTGATTGTTAGTTTTTTGGTGAGGACTTATTATTATCCTAAAATGATGAATAAGATGACGATTTGATAAAACATTGAAAGTGATTAATGGCAGTTTTTTACATTTTGTTTTTTCAACTTTTTCCAAAGCGAGGGTACTTTTGAATTGAGACACTTTAGTGTTATCGTTATCCACGATTTTATTTTGTTTTTTTTCTTTCTTATTTAATGAAAAAATATTTATTATATTAAATATAGGGGAGATAAACTGGCAAAAAATTTAAAATATTATTATTTTAATAAATAATTACGAATACATAGCTGTTTCGAAACTATCTACGGATCTATTGCACTCATTCACGCTCGCCCAAATCAGGCGTAACTCCCAAGGCATTCACGCCTAATTTTTTTATTTTTTTATTTTTTTGGTACATTGCCAGGAGGTATCCCCATTCAACCTTCTCCGGGCACCATGCCCTCGGGGTACGGCCCGTTTGGGCTAGCCCCTCGTTGTAACAGTGAGTGCACTAAGCTTCGCAACCGGAGAAAGGACGAGACTAATACCCCAATCGAAGATTTTTTGGCTTATCCTCTGGCCCCCAAAGATTTTTCAAGAAACTGCTTGAGGCAGGGTTTGATCCCTGCACCAAGCAATCCCTTAGGAGCTCAGCTGCCAACTGAGCTATCCTTGGGGGTTTCACGCCTAATTTTAACATGAATCATCTGGTGTTAACACGTGGCAAAAAAAGTCAACTTACGAATTATAAAACTTTGAAAAGCCATAACTTTTGACTCGGGTATCTGAATGAGGTAATTCTTTTTTTGATTTCACATAACTTTTCGAGATCTACGCAATAGCATCTCATTTGATATATTTTATCTCTCACGAACATAATTCAAATTTGCAATAATTGTATTATATGGTGTATTACCAAAAAAATTTAAAAAATTTATTAATAAGAAAAATAAAATAAAGATTTAATTTGTGATTTAAACTCAAAAATCAATATGAAAAATATGTATTAATAAAGAAAATAATTAAATAAATATTCTAAACACTTGGTAGAATATTATATAAATTTGTATATATTTTAAGGGAAAAAAGTATCTAATGTTACTTTAGATAATTTTGTTTAATATTTATCGAAACGACGTCGTTTTGGGTTTGAAAAATTAGAATGAGAAAGACTATTATAGCCCTAAAATAAATTAAAATTACAAAAACACCATGATTTCCGCCCCAAAACGACGTCGTTTTGATGAACATTAGATAAAGTTATCTAAAGTAACTTTAGAAAAAACAAACCTATATTTTAATAATTAAATAAATAACCTTGTACACTATTTTTTTTCAAACACTTGGTACTATAACATTAAATTCAAAATTCAAATAACCTCCAATAAGTTGATTGCATTTTATATTTAATAGGAGTTGATTGTGTTTTGTATTTAATAAGAGCTGATTGCATTGTAATTTTATGAGTTGATTACAGATTGTCGCCAATTCAAATAAATTTGCTGGAGGTTATTTGAATTTTGAATTTAATGGTATAGGAGGTGATTGCGTTTTGTATTTAATAGGAGCTGATTGCGTTTTGTATTTAATAGGAAATTTGGTGTCATCTTATTTATAGATGAGTTAATCCACTTTGGTGCCATCATTATATTATTATTGTTGGCTTGTTGCAAATCTGAATTGTGTTTGTGAGAGATAAAATATATCAAATGAGAATTCATTGCGTAGATCTCGAAAAGTTACGTGGAATCAAAAAAAGAATTACCTCAATCGGATACCTTAGTCAAAAGTTATGGCCTTATAAAGTTTCACGGTTAAACTATTAATTTTTTATGGCACGTGTCAACACCAGACGAGTCACGCCTAATTTAGACGTGAATGCTTTGGGAGTCACGCGTAACTTAGGCGTGAATGAGTGCAATAGATCCGTAGATAGTTTCGAAACAACTATGTATTCGTAATTATTTATTAAAATAGTAATATTTTAATTTTTTTGCCGAGATAAAATTATCTAGTATAATCTCAAAATGGAGTCTAGGTTAAAAAATAAAAGGTTTTTTTTTTTGATATTTTATATAATAAATTGTATTAAAATATGGGTTCATTTTTTCTGCAATTACTGCAAATAAGTTATCTGCAGTAAGTCTAATACGACGTCATTTTGGGCGGAAATTATGGTGTTTTTGTAATTTTAATTTATTTCAGGATTATTATAGTATTTATAATTATAATTATTTAGTTTTTCAATCCCAAAACGATACCGTTTTGGAAGTAAATGCAGATAGTTTATCTGCAGAATAACTGCAGAAATATTATTCTTGTTAAAATATTCTTTAAATTTAATCTTTAAGTCCTAAAATGATATCGGTTTAAGGTTGCAGCAGATACTTTATTTTCTCTAATAAGAGAAATATTAATCACTTAAATAAAACTATTATGTTTTGGTGTATATTTGTTGATTTTTCACATTATTTTGTTTTTTTAAATACTCTCTTTTTACTTTCTCACTCATAATTTTGTATAACAAATATGGCTTTAATGTTTCTAAAGTGAACGTAGATAAGTTATTTACGTTCGCTCTCAAAACGATGTCATTTTGAGTTAAAAAATTAAAAAAATATAATGAAAAAGACTATTATAACTCTGAAATAAATTATAATTACAAAAATACATTGATTTCTGCATCAAAACGACGTCATTTTAAGTTCAATGTAGATAAGTTATCTACATTGACGGTAGAAAAAGTGAACCTAACCAATGTTGTTAAAATTGAGATCTTAAGTAAAATCGGAAGATGATTAAAAAGTCGTAGAACGTAAAATCGTAATGTAAAAAAATCGTAAAAACGTAAAAGCGTTTGGAATATTAGTAAAATCGTTTTGATGGAAAAAAAAATCGTAATAACGTAAAATCATAGTGATAAATTGAAATTTTAACAACAATGAACCCAACAAATATATACCAAAATATCGTTATTTTAATTAAAGTCGTACAAAACTATTAATAAGCGCTTTTACCTTATTAATATCGTCAAAAAAATGTAATTAGGACTAAATAATTATTTTATTCTGTATACGGAATTTATGAAATGAAATTCACAGGGATGAGTTAGCGTCCACGTGCGGAAAACGGGAGCTGAGAAGCAACAAGGGGAAGAAGCAATGGCCAAATAAAGAATAAAATTGCTCTGCGCGTGTTATGTTATATCATGTATTAATTAACGCTCGAAGCGTGATTAATTAAGGGACCAAGTTTTCATACATATAAATACGTAATTAATTAATGTACACGGTTGACATTATTTATTGCTGTATAACTTTATTTATTGTAGTTGTATAACTCGATGTTTGTGCATAGTTGAAATGTTATGGGAATTGATCATTAAATATTTGAAAATTGTGCCCGTAACTACAAGCACACTCGTTCAATGGGGATAATTCCTATGTTTACTAAAATATAAATAAAAAATTATGTTCATTAATTATTCAATAATTGCGTTGATCAATTGCATTTTATTAATTAAGGCATATCCATAAATGCATTTTAAGAGACAATGATCAATGTGCCACACTTTTCGTAAAAAATTACCTGAATGCCATGTTATGTAAAAAAAATTCAAAAATGTTTGATGCCACATAATCTCGTTGCACCGTGGCTTATGTGGCCATACACCTTCTGCACGTCTCCACACCTAACTCACCAGGTGTTATAGCGAGTTAGGTGATGTGGCACTTTGGGAAAAAATTGCATAGCGCGACATTCAGGTAATTTTTTGTGGAGTGTGGCACTTTAGTCATTGTCCCTGCATTTTATTGTGCTTATGAGAATTACAAGATTAGATTTAAGGAAAATATTTTTCTCATATGACATACTTTTCAATGTTATTAAGATCAAGATCTTACGTAAGATTAGGAGGGGTGATAAAAATCGTAAGTCGTTTAGATCGACACAAATAGTAAGATCGTTCCTATTACTTAATATATAAAATTGTAATTAATATATATATATATATATATATATATATATATATGGTATATATTTGATGGGTTCACTTTTAATTTAATTAATATATATCCAAATCAATATTTAATTTAATTAAAAACTTCAAATTATTAAGAGTAATTTATTTAACAATTTATTTTTATTAATTATATAAAAAAATTAACCTCTTAATTCAAAAAAAATAATACAAAAGAGTGAAAGTAAAATTACAAATTTAACTGAAAGTAAAATTACAAATTTAACTAAAAGCAAAATGTAACTTTAAATAATAATCACAATAATAAAGAAATAAGATTCCAAACTTGTGGAAAATGGATATATGAAACATCATTTTTTTTTTTTTTTTGATAACGTATGAAACATCATTTTACCTTCTCTATTTCTATCTTTATGGGGTTACTGAAAAAAATATTCTCTCTCTTACTCCCTTTCTTCCATGGACGAACAGTAGTTGCCCTTTTGTGGATTTTGTTTTCGAACACTTTTAAGTCAGTTTGCCTACTGTAATCTATTTTTAACTTTTTCCTTTTTCTCTTTCCTTCTCTTTTTTTCTGAGTATTTTTGCGAAACATCAGAAGCAGAAGGATGTGCAAGCAGCAGAGGAAGTTGTTTGCAGAATAGGGTTTTAGTTTTTTCAGATTTTTTCTTTTGGTTCAAAACTCGATGGATTGGTCAATTCCACAATCCCACGAGTTTGGGCGGTGATCCTAGCGATCCTGCATTTAATCCAATCTCGCTTGTGATTCAACTCGAAACCAATGAAATCATCGTAGGATCTTACGATCCTACGAGTAAAATCGCGAGTTTAACAACCTTGATACTTTTATTCCATGCAACACATAAAAAATAGATGAAATCTATTTTTTTCTCTATTTTTTTCTTAGTATGTCTCACTTATTTTTTACATATTATATGAGATAAATTATTTCATTTAATATAAAAAATATATTCCTCTAACTTTAATTAAGAAATATCAAAATGTCGCGATCAATCTCCCCATTGCATTCCACCAAAACAATATTAACACGT